TGAATTAGTTTGACTTTAGATTTCTCAAAGTTGCCGCTGTGGATTTAAAATTAAGGTCAGAGCCAACAATCAAGAGGACGAAGCTGCGTGTTGGAATGTTGTGAAATTGCTACTTGTAACCAAACTCCTTTGAGTATAAATTACACGCGATGATTTACGAGATGAACAATTGTTTGATGTGCTGATATAAACACGTACTGTCGCTGAAGCAAGCCTCCCGTCAAATATTTACAAATTTCAGGATTCATCTTATTTATCTGAGATTTTGTCGCATTTAGCATTTCCTATGCATTGCTCTGTGGTCTGCCTTACAGTAGTTTGATTATTTTTTGCTATACAATTATTTTGTCTTCGTTAGTTCCCGGATGTCAATATTTTGTTGATGTCGCGCCACCGTGCGTCAGTGGAACTTTCGTTTTACTTTCCCCTCAGCTTAGCGAACGGGATGCGATGTTGTGTCAAGTGTGGGTGTACATTTTTACTTCATATAGCTTTGTACCGGATTTAATACCTGTTTTTCTGGATCGGCTTACAATTGATGGAAATTAAAATGCGACAACTCATTTCGTTAATTCCCCTCTTCAGGTAGCCGTCGTTTGGTAGACGTGGTTGATGTCAATACACAAAAAGGCATCGAGATGACCATGGCACAGTGGGCCAAATATTTTGAAAACCCCGATCGGGATAAATTGTACAATGTGATCAGTCTGGAATTTAGCAGAACAAGATTGGACGACTATGTGACGTCGCCCAAATTGGTGAGTAGATTAATTCCGCGCTTCCTTGGGGGCGTGGTCGCCTATCACCGTGACTGGCGATGTCTTCGCCAAGATTTAACAAAATGTTACTATGCCTCGTCTGCTTTGTTAGCTTAAATGTTTCTTTATTTTTTAGTACAATTTTCATTTTTTTTAATTATAGAACGAGACGTTCTCGACAAGTTGATCGAGACGTTGGTGGTAAACAGACAAAGTAAATAGTATTCTTGTTTTCAGGTTCGTCAAGTCGACTGGATCGACAATGTTTGGCCTCCACATTTAAAGAACACTCAGATTGAATCCACTAATGCCATCTCTGAAATGAAATATCCTAAAGTTCAAAAGTAAGCAGTTTTTTTGTTACTGTCATCTATAAAGTAAAGCATTTATGGAATGTTACGTTTTCAATACAATAGAAAATAAGGCGATTGTAAATCGTTTTGCGTTATTTTTATACAATTTACAAACAATTCTCGCGTAATAGCATTGTCGTGCAAAATTATTGTGGTAAAAACAACTTAAATCATAAAACTGTTCTTTGAAATGGGTAGCGAGAAACTCTTGAATTGGCGACGCTGTCTGAACACGTGACTTAGCAAACGACCAATGTGACTGCATGCCTCCACTTCCTGGATGCTCGTAAGTTGTGGCGCAACACGGCGTGACAAATCTTGCTAATTTGACAGTTAACGACAATGTCCCTTGAAAAGGGTATGCTCAAACCTCAGATCAACGCCTTTTCGGGTCGATATGTAACGATTGTATTTGTATAAGCAAACGTACCTCCCCGGTAGCCTGCTTGCTTGCTTGCGCGTTTGAACATCGACATGTTTCACATTGTATAGTGACCTCTGACACGACTGTGCTGACGCTGGGTTTCTTTTTTCGAGTAGGTACTGTTTGATGAGCGTTGCTGGATGTTACACTGATTTTCATATTGATTTTGGTGGCACCTCAGTGTGGTATCACATCTTACATGGCAAGAAGGTGAGTACATCCTATTCACTGCCCCTTGTATCATTCATGGCATTTGTAATGCAAACATCGTAAGGAGATTGACATTTAATATTGTGCATACCATCCCTCTGATGATGGTTATTGATTGTTATTATATTTCCAGTGCTGTTTCACTCTGCATGGCCTCAGTCCTTTTCGCAATTCATTGCCAACAAAGCAAGGCTTGGCTTCCATTGTTATTCTAATGACAGTGACAGTACGTGCTACAAAAGCTAAAAAGAAGGATTTTGCATCGCAATATCAGCTGCTATTATGCAGTGAAGGTCCCAACCACAGTTTTAGCTGGAAATCCCACCCACTTAACCAAGTAGCATAAGTTAATTTATTAGTCAATTTGTGATCACTAATGTCAGTTTCCGTTTGTTAGCTTTAACTCTGCAGTCAATGTATGTTGTATTTTTGTTGTGCATGTGCCGAATAAATATTAATGCAGTGACAGTCTTGTTGATATCAACTTGATCAGTAATTGAAACTGCTTTATACATGGCATGGTAAAACCATCCAGTCATACGTTGTATTTTGCATTTCACGTTGCCGTCAATCCCCGCCCATTTAAAGTTGTGTTGACATGTATGCAAATGTATTGCCATTGTAGCTGCCAATTTCCACGATTGGGCAAACCCACCAACTCTTTAAGCGAACAATTTAAATTGATATTTTATTTTTTTAATGCAACTGCTGTCTACAACTTGATATTTGCCAGCACTGTTGATGATTACTCGACCTCGCCCCCCTGCCATGATCGAGATTTATCTAAAAGCGTACCCAATTTGATGAATCTGATTGCTGTTTCTTTTAATCATACTCTCCATCAATTTGCAGATTTTTTGGTTAATTCCACCGACTGAGAAAAATCTTGATCTATACGAAGCTTGGGTATTATCGGGGAAGCAAGGGGACATCTTTCTCGGTGACAGAGTGGACCACTGTGCTCGTGTTACTTTATATGCTGGCTATACATTTTTCATACCCACAGGTAAATTGCTAAAAATATCCTGTTTATACTTGGTGACCTTATTTTGATAATTTAGATATTTATTTTTCCGCTTGTAAATTCATTTATTCGTTATTTAATCCTTTTCCATTTCATATTGTTCAACTCCTCCATTTCAATTTAGATATTGTATACTTAAATAATATTTATTTTGAGGCCTGACTTGCCAAATCTGTTAAAATGAGGACAACATTTAAATTAATTACTTGTTATATCTTCAGGCTGATGATCGAACTTGAGTGCTTGTTCTTTGGTACAAATATCAAATCAAAGTTTGATTCGTTAATTTTGACAGGTCTAGTGGCAACACTAGGGGTTAGGATACTGATGTATAAACAAACGCTATGTCGGTTAATATCTCGCAGAGCTTGTCACTATGGGAGACGGGACAGAGATCAATGCTTTTCATTTCATTTCCTCCTCATTGTTGCAATAATCCTCAAATAAATTTAGAACATCAGTTTTTGTTGGTGCAGCTTGGAAGGGTATTATAGAGCTTGTCAATCTCAACACTGGCCAATGGCGCATCCACTTCTGGGCTTCCTTTCAATGTGCTTTGGATGATTTATTTTGCCGAGTGTACTGTCAGTTAGTCAGCAGTGACCTGAAAGCACTCTTGATGAAGTACTTATAGTTTGATGATGGAATCACTCGTA